TGGCCGGGAGGGGCCGGGGCTGCAGGCTGCGGGGAGGGCGGTTCCGAGGGCGAGATGGGCTCGCAGGGGCTGAGGAAGAGCCGGCTGGGGAGGCTGGCAGACTGTGTGCGGAGGAGAGGGCCGCTACGTCAGGGATCTGGTGTGTGCTGTGTGTTGAGGGCGCCCCGGCCTGGAGCTGAGCCCACATTCAGGCCTTGGCAAGCAAAGAAGAGGGCTGGATGGGGTCGTGGGGGGGGGTCGTCTTGTGTGGAAGGACAAGAGGGCAGCTTCTTCCTCCCCCAGGATGAGCGGAAGCCCTGGACCCTGGGAGCAGCAGCCCAGCTGGTCTGCAGGTGCACACGGAGGCACTAGGGCAGCACAAACAAAGCCACAAGGCATGCACCCTCCTAACGGGCAGCTGCTGCCCACCGAGTGCTCAAGGCCAGTGTCTGCACGTCACAGCGACGCGTTTGGGCAAGTGAGGACTCTGGTTCCACACACATCAGGGGCTCTAGCCTGAGATCCTGAGCCTTGAGCAACATGGATGTGGGATCCAGCACTACCCCTGGGTGAACTACTTTTCACTCTACCCAGTTCCCATTCCCTGCAGCAGCTGGCACCACCCACCCTGTCCTGTGAGCTGAAATCAGCCCTGCCTGCAGGTGTTTAGCCTGTAGAAGGTAGATGAGTGGGGGTAGGGAAACTGAGGCACGAAGAGAAGTGGTCCACAGAGGAAACTGGGAGGGTGGGAGCCAGGGCTAGACGCTGGCCTTCCAGGCCTTCTCCTCCTCCAGCTCCAGGTTCCCTTCTCTGGGTTCAGTGGGCTGGAAAGGTGGAGCTGGCCCTTTAAGAGGAGCTGTCCAGACCAGTGGAGGCTGTTTGCGGTCTGGGACCCGGTCTGGGTCTGCCGCTCACCAGCCTCCCCTTCTTCCCTCTGGAATCTCCCTAGCTGGCATCTGTGGCTTGAACCATGCTGAAAATACAAACAGCAGCGTAGCACCTAATCAGCCAGACTGACCAGAGGCACAGACTGCTGTCTGGGATGGTGTCTGGAGCCCAAGGGACCAGCTGGGCATTTTCCCTGGAAGCAACAGAGAGAGAAGGCCACTTGGAACCTCGCTGGGTCACCCCTGTGTGTCCCAGCAGTGGAGGTTTGAACCTTAGCAAAGGGTTCTTCTGCCCCATAACCAGCAGGAGCTGGCCTGTCTTTCTGGGCCCAGGATGACCGTGCAGGGCATGTCATTGTCTTTGGCTTAGGGAGGACACACACACAGGAAACTGGAGGTTCCTTTTGGCTGTGCCTGGCCCATCAGCTGTGTGTCCTCTAATGGACGCCCTGGAAGGATGCCTTGCCCTACAGGAATAGAGAGGAGAAAGTGAAGAACAAAGGCAGAAAGGTTAGGTCAGTGCCCTGGCCATAGATCTGATCGAGGGTAGGAGAAGGATCAGGCACAGGGAGTGCAGACCGTGTAAGTCTCGTCTCTGAGTTCACTTCCGGAGTCTCTGAGTTCACTTCCGGAGCACTTGATCTGCACCAAAGGGGTTGAGGATCAAGAGAGGGATGTGGTCGGCTGGGGATCCTGGGAGGGGGGCCGCTAGGGGTGGAGGCCTGAACCTTGGCAGGAGCAGGAGAGGGGGAAAAGTGGACACGCTAAGTGAGCTGGGGGAGCGAAGGCGAGGGAAAAGGGCCGGGTGAGTTCTGGGAAGGTGGGCAAGCCTGCCCCTCCCTCCCTCCTTGTACTTAGCTGGCGCACAGGGCAGGAGGCCAGCTTCAGGGCAGGGGATGAACATGTAGAACCTGAGTGTTTTCGGAACATCTGAACTGGGAGAGAGGCCCATCCGCACGGGGTGGGGTGGTGGCTGCAGCTCAGGAGACCTCAGGGATGGGAGGGAAGAGGTCAAGGGCCCAGAAGGAATCTTGGGTAAATCGCCATTCAGAGCAGCAGACAGCCCCAGAGAAGGAAGGGGGTCACAGCAAGACACTGAACCACCTGTAATCTGCCTATGGCCCCCATAAGGCCCTGGTGTGCCACCCTCTCCTCATCCAAAGGTTTCATGGTCTTAGGGAGATTCCAGCAAGCCTCAGGGAGGGAGGTGAGGACACAGGAAGCAACAGGAGGGGCATCTGGTTGACTGGTCGGAGAAAGAACGCTCCACTCTCTGGCTTATTCACCTACCTCTTCATCACCCACAGGATCTGGGCCTTGAGGGGACCCTCCTCACTGACATCCTCTACAGGAACGTGACCTTCCTCAACCTGGTGGACCCCATCTCCCATGACCTGCTGGTGAACCTGGCCCGGGACCTGCAGTGTCCCAAGAAGGTAAGGGTAGTCTCATTTCCACAGTGACAGAGCACTGTGCCCAGGCCTGGGGACACTAGCTGAGCAGAAGTCACACGGGGACCCTGGAGGATATAAACTGTTTTTGACAAATTTGCTAAAAACTGGATTTGCAACCTCTGCGTTCTGGGGCAGAAGAGGCTGGAGACCCCATTGACTGCTGGGACTCTATCCCGCGTGTACAGCTTTGGGGATGGTGCTCTCTGTCCCCCCCAAGGCAGCTTGGGCCATGGGCACGCCCCTCCTCGTGTTAAGTTGGAGCCTACCACCTACACCCTTCACCCTCTGCCCAGCGGCCGTGTCCTTCCATGAGCACGGACCCAGCCCCAGCCTGTGTGGACCAGCTCCTGAGCCCTGGTCACCATGAATTCCCTGCATGAAACAAGCTGCAGGCTCTGCCTTCTGCGGCATCGCATACAGTTGGCTGCCCACAGCTATCGCAGTAACCCCGGGGCTTGCTGTCTCTGTGCCTGTCGAATGCTCCTGGGGCTATTAAGAGAGGGACTGTGTAAAGGAACATTCCAGGTAATGTAGCATGACTGGTGCCAGCTTTGTGAAAAGCTCGCCCTGTTATTCTACCCCCAGCTGGGCCTCGGCGGGGGCCCAGTTAGGACAGAGAGAGTCAGGATGTAGTGCGGTAAAACATTAAAGCCCCAGCCCTATCAGCCCAGACCGAGGCACACAGGCATGGCGTAGCTTGGAGAACGAGAGGATAGAAGATCGTGCTGACCTGGCTTGTTCCTATTCCCTGGGATTGGCGTCAGTAGAGCAGGGCTCCCTCGAGGGGCCTGGTCTGAACCCCCTGTGGCAAGTCCCCTGGGGGTGCTGAGGGTGAGCGGGCCACCAGCTGCTAGCTGAAGCCACTGGCCCTGGGCCTGAGAACAGGGAACAAGGGCCCATTGTCTGGGCTTCCTCCCGCCGGGCACTGCGGGTTTCGGACCGGCCTGTCCAGCTCCCAGCAGGCAGCCTCCCCTGGCTCTGGGCCAGCTCAATCCGCGGTGGGTGTGAGAGGGGCTGGGTCTCACCCTGACAGCGCTGCCCCCCACCCCTCAGGACTACGAGCTCTGGAAATCCTCCGACAAGATCTGCCGGCAGCTCATCTACCACCTCACCCCTCATTCCAAGCGGCACCGAGGGCCCAGCCACCCCCAGAGGAAGACCCAGAGCTGGTAAGGGGAGCCCAGCCACAGCCCCTCTCCGCTGTCTCTTCAGCATCCCTCCCAGGTTGTTACCATAATGTCTCTCACCGAGAGTCTGCCGCTTACAGTCTCACCCTGCCGGTTACATCCTCATCTGCACTGAGTCTCCATCCCCGGAAGCCAGTCCGACCCTTGGCAGCACATGTACCCAAGCCAAGCTGCCTTCTCTGTGTTAAATACCTTCCGTCTCCCCCAGGATGGTCCTGACATTCACTCATCCCTCAGTCCCTGGTCTATCGCAGGGCCCGGACCTCCTTCCCTACCTGCCACCCGAGAGAGCTCAGCAGGAGTCAGGTAAATCTTCATAACCCGTGGCAAGGGAGGCAGATTCTGCATCACGATTCCCATTGGACAGGGAAAGAAACTGAGGCTGGGAGAGGCAATCTTGCCAAGAGCACACTCTCCCTAATTGTCCTGCAGCCCTTGGAGAATTCGCCAACACCAAGCTGCTAGAAACTGAGGCCTCCAAGGGTACCACATAGCTTACTGCTGTAGGGTCCTACTCTCATCTCTCCTCATGCATACAAGCCCAGCCTGGAAGGAGCTGCAGGCCCAGGGCCCCAGAGCCACAGCTCAGAACAGGCTCTAACACATGTTCCCTATTGGACTTCCACATCCTTCTGTTCTTCTGGGGGCCCACGGGGAACCTAGAGCCTATGCAGTTGTCCCAAGGGAGACCCTCCGTCTCTAAGTGTCTCTCCCAATTTAGAACACAGGGAGTCCTCCCCCGGGACGAGTCCTCACCCCACACCCCACCAGCCCTTCCCCCTCACGATCCAGAGGCAAGGGGTCTAGCCTGATATTCCATCTCAGAGAAAGCTTTTCCCTCACCCCCATGGACCGGACTTCAGAGTAGGCCCGGGGAAAAAAATGTGGGCTGAGTCAAAGCACCTCGACTCGGAGACCTGTCCGCCCTCAGTGATGCGTGGTCATTGGAGAGTTATTTCCCATCTCTGGGCGTCAGTTTTCTCCTCAGTAGCATGGGTCATTATCCCTACCCCCTCGGGCTGGCATAAAAATAAGTGAGATAACAAAAATAACAGGGACGGTGATGCTGGCCACATAGTAAGGTTTTATAATAATAGAGCAAGTCCCCGACTTTCAAACGCATTCCATTCCAGGAGAATGTAAGCTGGATTTGTTTGGAAGTCTGACAAAGTGAGTTTTAGATGAGTCTGTGAAAGTTCGCAACTCGAATGTTCGTAAGTTGGGGACTTACTATAGTAGTTCAAGCATGGAACCTTAATTTAATCTTCACAGCAACCTGTCCCCTTTCACTAGGGCTCAGAGAGGTTCTCAGCCTGCCCGTGGCCACACATTTAGGAAATGGCAGTTGGAACCAGAGTTTGCCAGATAGGTCATCGTCTGCGGTCACCAGGGTACTGCCTAGCCCCAGGGCCCTTGCTTAATCCATCTCAACTGCAATATTCCCACAGCCTCAAGAGCGGCCTCCAGAAGACTCTGCTGGGCGGGGAGACTGTGGACCTTTCGGGCATCCCGCTGTCAGCGCGAGACGTGCAGCACATAATGTGCTACCTGGGCAGCCATGGCGCTGGGCTGGCGGTGCTGGACCTGAGCTTCACAGGGCTGAGTGATGAGTTCCTGCACCTGCTGCTGCCCAGCCTGTGGACGCTACCCCGCCTCACCCAGCTCCTGCTCAACGGCAACCGGCTGACACGGGCTGCTGCCCGCGAGCTCACGGAGGCCGTCAAAGACACCACCAAATTCCCTGCGTTGGCCTGGGTGGACCTGGGCAACAATGAGGATGTGGCCTCCCTGCCCCAGGCCCTGCTCGTCGGCCTGCGCCGGCGGCTGAGCCAGCGTACCTCGCTCCCCACCATCTACGAGGGTCCAGACTTTGAGGCTGGGGATGGCACAGCTGGGTCTCCCGCTGCTGCCTCTACATGGGGCTCTGCAGCTGCTGGCCCAGGGCCTGAGCCACAGGCCTGCTGCGCCAGGTGACCCACCACTCACTTCCGTCTGTGCTACTGAGCGAGGGTGCTCTTGAGTGCACAAAAGCGAGTGGTGGAGATGCCGCAGGCCTCCAGGGAGCCAGTGGAGCTGCGCGGCCTGGGACCAAGGGGTTGGCCAGGCAAGGCTGACTTCCCTTGGCACATTTAGGAGGCTCCTTCCCTCAGCAGGAGGGTCCCTGGCACCCGCAGCACAGACCCCGCAATAAAGTGCTGACCCCCTTGGCCTCAGCCCTCTCTGTGTCACAAACCTAGTGTCCCCTAGGTGCCAGCTTGGCTGCTGTGGTGGGGTAGCCCCTGTCTGTGCCAAAGCGAGGGGCCAAAGTTGTACCGACTTCCCCCGGTGCTCCCTGGCAGGGCCGTGTGGAGACACGCGTGTGGGGGTCATGAGTCCAACAGCACGGGCTGGGCATTTAGAGGAGGCGCTCACATCTGGGCAGAGTTTGGGCTGCGGGGAGGAGCAGGTTGGGAGCCGGGGGTGGGGTGCAGAACTCTGCATGGACCCTCACAGCAAGCTCACTTGTGAGCCCCTGCTTCCATCGGGACCCCTTGGGCTGAGAACAGGGCTGCACTGGCTGGGATGAGGCCATAGCTGACCGGAATGGGTGGACTCAGGGCTGACGCAGTGCCACCCACACCCTCCAGTCCCCAAGCCTCCACTGGTGAGTAGGCAACTCAGGGGGTCAGGAGATGCACCTGGCCAGAGACAAAAAGCTATGTGCTTCCTCCAGGGCCCGAGCGTCCCCACACAGCACACGGTGCGTAAGCACAGTTGGCAGCAGGAGAGGTGGGGGCACAACAACCCCAAGGCTGCACCTGTGAGTGACACTCTCTCCCTTCCTCCCCAAGGACCACAAAGGTGGGATCCCACCAGGAGCCTAACGCCATGGTCACCCTCACTGTCCTCTGTGAGGAGCTAGAGTTCAGCCCATCAAGCACATCGGTAGGACAGGCAAGAAAAGTATTCAGAGATGCCCTGGGGAAACGGGACCTAGTGGAAAAGCCAGTGGCCTAAGTTTCCGGTGCCAAGCCAGGAGGCAGGTCTGGGGGCATGAGCTCCTGCTAGGTAAGAGAGATGGCAGCAGAAGGGGACCCCAGGGCTAAGGAGAAGGCAGGGTCCCCCTGGGCCTGTGTACCCTGCCCCACTGGTCCTGACCTTCCTTCATGTCACCGATCCTCTAGGGCCACAGGGCCAGGCCTCCAGGGATGAGTGGCACACCCGCCCCCCATGGGACGCAGATTCCACTCTGTCCCCAGACCAGCTGGATGCACTACAGCGTCCCAGGCCATACGGGGTTAGCCAAGAAGGGAGAGTACAGAGATTTACCCTCAGGCCCCACAGAGCTCACAGTTTTTGGCATTCTTATCGGGAGGCTCTGCTTCCGACCTGCTAAAGAGACGAACAGGCCCTGCTCTCTCGGGGCCTCACTCAGCCGTCTTCTCTCTGCTAAAGAGGGCTTTCTGTCTCCAGTCTCTCCCGGCTCTCAATGCCTGGGGTCCTGCACCTTCCTTGTTTCAGAGACGTGGGCCTGCCCAGTAGCTCGGAACAGTGGAAGTTCCTCCCGGAACAGGCGTTGAGGCCCCAGAGCCAGGCAAAGTGGGATGGAGGATAGACCAGCAGAGAGAAGAGGGCCAGCCACGGGCCCGGCAGGCTGATAAACCAGTCACATGCACAGGCAGCTGGTCGTTCCCCGCAACTCTGCTGGAGGAAGGCCAAGCTCTCTGCGTCCCTCCTGCCCTCCTCGCTCCCTGCCCACGGCTGGCCCGAAGCCAGTCCACAAACCTTCTCAGAGTGATTCCTGCCAGGACAGTTCAGGAGCACCCGAGCCAGGTGTCCCAGGGAGGCTCCGGAAGAATCCAGGTGGCAGCAGATGGTCCCGATCTCTCTGCTGTTTGGACAGAGGCGTGCAAAGCAGTATGGTAGTTGAGCCAGAGCATGAGACAGCGTAAGAGACGTAGGGAAGAATGGCCTTGTTGCTAGGGAGGTGTCCACAACCATTCACAGGTCCTCATGACCGACAGCAAGGCCATTCCACGGGCAGGGACACCGAGCTGCAGGAAGTGAGGGCCTGTGCCTGTTTTAGTCCACTTTGTGCTGCCATACTAGAATACAGCAGCCTGGGTATTTATGAAGAAGGGAAGTTTATTTGGCTCATGTATCTGGAGGCTGCAAAGCCCAAGATTGGAATGACAGAGGCATTACACGGTAGGAAGACTCAAGGGAGCAGGAGGGGGCTGAACTCGCCTTTATTACAAAACCACTGTGGCAAGAAATGCGATTGATCTGTCCATGAGAACATAAGCCCTCACTTTCTAGTGAACGGCTTTAAAGGCCTCACCACTCAAACTGGAGGGGGGACTGAGTTTCCAACACGTGCACTTTGGGGCAGCCGTTCAAGCCACAGCCCGCCTCACGCAGCTGGGTGGGACAGAGAGCACCAGCCAGGACAGCTCCAGTCCCAGGTCCAGACTACGCGGCAGGAGCTGGGCCTCCTCTGAGTGGTGGAATTGCGACCAAGACTAGGCCAGTTTGCCTCCAAGACTGGCTAACCCATTGGTGAGTTAGTTCACAGCTGAATGGGCTAGTGGAGGAAGTTGGTCATGGGTGCTATACCTGGTGACTATACCTGGTCTCGAACTCCCAGCGACCCTCCTGCCTCAGCCTCCCGAGTGCTGGGATTACAGGTGTACGCCACCAGGCCTGGCAATATATAAAGTGCCATTTCTTTGATCCTTTCATCTTTTTTTTTTTTTTCCTGGCCCCTTTCTTGATGGCTCTCCCCCTTCTTTCTGCTTCCAAGCTGGCATGACTTGAGCAGCTTTTCTCTGCTATGGTTTTCTGCTGTGATGTTTCTACCTCAGAGCCAGCCAACCATGGATTGAAATCTTTGAACTACACTGGGTGTGGTGGCACACACCTTGACCCCAGCACTTGGGAGACTGAGGCATTGCCTCAAGTTTGAGCCCACCCTGTGCTATACAGGGAGTTCAAGGCCAGCCTGAACTACATAGTGGGACTTTTCCTCAAAACAAACAAACAAACAACCTAAAACCAAACCAAACAAAAAAACCCCAGTCCATCTTATTCCAGAATGAGGGGCTATCTTCAAGAAATCAAATAACAACAAATATTTAAAAGGTTGCAGGGGGAAAAGAATTCTTCTGCATTGTTGATGGGAATGTAAACTAGTACAGCCATTAGGGAAATCAGTATGGAGATCCCTCAAAAAACTAAAACTAGGGCCAGGGATTTAGCTCAGTGGTTCTGCTACCTGCTTCGCAAGTGCAAGGTCCTGAGTTCAATCCCTGATACAAAAACAAAATAAAACACTAAGACCAGAAATTCTATTCAACCTAGCTACTCCCCCTCTAGGTATCTTCCCAAAAGAGTTCAAAGCATCATAACATAGCAATATATGCACACACAGTTTGTAATAGCTAAATCTTGGAAACAGCCCAAATGCCCATCAGCTCATGAATGGATAAAGAGGTTGTGGGTTTTTTTTTTTATACAATGGAGTCCTACTCTGCCATAAAGAAGGATAAGCTTGAGACATTTCCAGCTAAATGGATGCACCTTAAGACCACACTCTTAAGTAAAATAAGTCAGACACACATGTTTAAATACTGCATTGTTTTTCTGGTATCAGAAACCAAAAGTGTACAAGGACAAAAATGTATAATGAAGATTGAGAAATGGGAAGAAAATGTTCAAATGAGAAGAGGAACAAGGAGCAAGGGAGGGAAAAGGAAAAAAAAAGAGCATGTAAGGAAAAAATGGAAACAAAGTTTTTGTAAATAAGGAGGAAAAGAGGGGCTAAAGGGGGGGAATGATTAAAAAAATAAGCAAGACACATCATGTATAGATAAAAATTTCCTATGATGAATGTTATTATGTATGTCTGAAATATACCAATAGCAAACAAAACAAAAACCAGAAAAGACAAGGCAGCAAAATGCCCCCAAAATTCCCTCTGCCCCACAGCCTCCCACTCCATTTATTTATTTAACAAGCCCTTCTGTGAGCTTTCTCTGGCCGGGTGCTATTCTGATAGCTTTATACTTCTATAATTCTCCTAGAATTTTAAGGAGGTATATGCTACTAGTTTTTCAATTTTATTTTTATTGGTACATGCTTGTAGTACATAGTGATTACTTGCCTTGTGAGGAGTAGGTACATGTATATAACACATCCTAATTCTTTTTTTTTTTTTTTTTTTTTGAGACAGGGTTTTGCTATGTAGTTCAGCCTGGACTCAAATTTATGGCAATCCTCCTACCTCTAGTCTGGCTCCTCATTATTTTTAATCATGAATGGATATTCGATTTTATTAAAGGCTTCTCTGCATCTATTGAGATGATCATATGATTTTTGTTCTTGTTTCTGTTTTTGTGAGATATCACATTTATTATTTGTGTATGCTGAACCATCCTTGCATTCCTGGCAAGAGGCCAACTTGGTCTTGATGAATAATCTTTTTGATGATTTATTGCATTATGTTTGCTACCATCTTGTTGAGTGTTCTTTGCATCTATGTTCCTTAAAGACATTGGCCTGTACTTCTCTTTTTTGGTTAGGTCTGTGTCTTTTTTTGGTTTGGAATCAGGGTAATGTTAGCTTCCAGGAATGACTTTGGGAAATACTTACTCCCGTTCAATTGCATTGAGTAGATTGAGGAGAATTAGTGTTAGATCTTCCCTGAAGTTCTTATAGAATTCAGGGGTGAATCCATTGTTAGTTGGTAGGTTTTAAAAATTATTGCTTCCATTGAATTGTCTGTTACTGGATTATTCAGGATTTTTATATCTTCTTGATTCAGTTTTGATAATTCATATGTATCCGTGAATCTATCCATTTCTTCATTTTCCAAATTATTGTCATACAGGTTTTTGAAACAGTTACTAATAATCTTCTGAATTAAAAAAAAAAAAAAGCTGGGCATGAGGGCTGGGGATTTAGCTCAGTGGCTCCACTGCCTGCCTTGCAAGAGCAAGGTCCCGAGTTCAATCCCCAGTACCAAAACAACAACAACAACAACAACAACAAAAACAACAACAGCAAAAAACAAAAAAAGATGGATCTTCCATATGGGTCTGGGGATTCAGCTCAGTGGCACTGTGCCTGCCTTGCAAATGCAAGGTCCTGAGTTCAATTCCCGGTACCACAAAAATAAATAAATAAAATAAGGGGAAAAAAAAAAGCTGGGCATGATTTTACATGCCAGT